GCTATGACTACTGTCTGATGCTACTTCTTTCTCTGGTGTTTGCAAAGCTAGAGAGACCAAATGATAGAAACAATCAGCGTTATTCCACATTCTTTGTGGACATTATAATAGCACTTCTGGGCCTGCTTTCATTTATTAAAAATCTTGTTTTGTAGTTATATCCACCTCTATACCATAAGTATCTAATCTCTGCATTGTTTTTTTTTTTAAGATTTATGTATTTGAGAGAGAGAGAAAGAGAGAGAGAATGCAAGTGGGGGGAGGGGCAGAGGGAGAGAATCTCAAGCAGACTCCCTGCTGAGTGCAGAGCCCAACCGGGGCTTGAGCCCAAGACCCATGAGATCATGGTCTGAGTCAAAACCAAGAATGGGATGCGCAACCGACTGAACCACACAGGTGCCCCCTGTATTGGTTCTTGAGAGGTATTTATTGTGCAGAATCACAGGGAGGAATAAAGGTGTATATAGCAGATTGCCAATAGCAAACAGTCACGGTGGTTGTGCATTCAAGTTCAATTTATTGTTGCACCTCTCATCAGGGTTCAAACTGAAGGGAAAGGACCAGTAAAGCAAGACGATGACAAATACCTGGTAACAGAGCAGGGGTTAAGCCCACACATGCCGTAATCATCATCCTCAAAGCGGAATCTAAAAGCCCTGTCTGGTTCCTTGTGCGGTAATGTCATTTATTCGTAGGCTTGTGACATGAACCAAGAATAGCAGCTAGCACGGCAGGAACAGCAGGACTGTTCTTCTCATTGATTCCAGTGATATATTTTTTTTTCAGGAGTTGGGGAACAGTGGCGGGCAGAGGGAAGAGATGGTCTGCCAGATCATTTGTTGCCTGAAACAATCCTTAGAATTTAAAATGATAAACAACCAGACCTCTGGACTATCTAAATATCTGAAGTTCTATTTAAAAATGTTCTCTTTTGGGGGAAATTTCTATTAACCCTCCGAAACACTGTTAAGAAATTCTAATAAAGATGTGGTAGTTTATGCATTGCAGTAAAAGCAAGACCTTTTTTTAGATCTAATTATAGGACTGGACACTTGGTGTAAAAGCAATTTACTTATTAGGTTCTCTGATTTTTCCCTTTTCATAGGTGGAAAATCTATTCAGGGAACATGTAATTCAAGCTACGTTGGTACTATGGGTTTTATGTTTATCAGGCATTCACAATGTACCCAAGAGTACAGGGCTAAATATTTCTGTTCATCTGTGTTAATGCCCAGAGGATTTTGAAAAGAAGGAGAAAAAATAAGCCCTAACATTGCTGTGCCTCTATTGTATAAGTGGGCATTTAGAAGACTTGCTTTGCAGACATTTTCAAATGCGGGTCTGCCACGCTTCACACACAAATCTGCCTGAGTAACTAGGTGCAGATTCAACTTTTAAAAATGACATCACATTTTATGCACTAGGGAAACTGGTACATCCTTTCATATTGCAAACAACCGTCTTCTTATCTGTTTTTAAATCCAAACTTTAGCTCACTGGGCAATTTTAGAAACAGAGCATTCTTCTTTCATGCCGCATATTATATTTATTTATTTTTATTCTTATGTTAATCCCCATACATTACATCATTAGTTTCAGATGAAGTGTTCCATGATTCATCGTTTGTGCATAACACCCAGTGCTCCATGCAGAATGTCCCCTCCTCAATACCCACCACCAGGCTAACCCATCCTCCC